CTTTTTTGAGCATTAGCAACAACAACAACAAAAAAGATTTTGAGGAAAACCACCTTAAAATGTTGAGATTTTCCCTGTGAGCTAACAATGTTTTTGTTTCTTTCCAGCTGGGAAATCTCAATATTCAAATACTATTTGAGGTTTCTTTTTAAAAAGGACAAAAAAAATCCTCATTAAAATTACATCAAATTAGGATTTAGACCAAATATTTTTGAATTATTGTAACCAACAAGACAAATTAAATAATATCTCTGGATCTACTAATGATATCAGGATGATCTCAGTATCAAAATGTAGCTTTTAAAGCCAGAAATCTGAAAATATGATGAGGTCATTTTGACCAAATTTGCCTTAATCCTCCTTTCAATGTGATAGGTCACATTTGAACAAAATGTGTGACAGTTTTCACCCTCAGCTGTTAACATTAACACTGATCAATAACATTTATAGACCTCTGTTAGTGCTTCTAAATTTAGCCCATAAATTTAGCAAGTGCCAATCCACTAATAAATTATAAAATTAGCAAAAGCACTAAAGCACTAAAGAGGAAATTAGTTCCCTTATTAGTGTTTTAGGGGAACTGTGCCCACCACTGAAAAGTAGTAAAACTCACAGTTGGGTGGGGGGGTTGGTGAAGCCCTGATAGATGATATCTGATGTTCTCTGCGTTGATCAGGCTGATAAAGAGAACTGTGACCCGACCCGCTCTGCTCAGCTTTACGAAAGCTGCCTCCACTCCACCTCCTGCAGACGGGCCGACCCGAGCCACGCACATTTAACAGCTTTGACTCTTTAATGCTGACCACTTTAATATGAAGAGGCTGTTTTACCAGCCAAAATGTCACAAAATGCAGATTACCCTTGAAAATGTTAACAGAGAGGCTTTATGGTTCTAGTTCATCTTAAACTGTAAGATTTTCTAGATAAGAGGCAGAATAAGCCACGGAGATAGAAAGCCTAAATGTTTTTGGGAGAGTTTAATACTAAAAAAAAGCTAATAAAACCAGAGATGAACATCTGGAAAAGCCATCACCCTCCACTGAGGCACCAGATGACATAAAAATATCAGCTCAGACCACAGCCGCCACCACCGTTAGCTTTAATGTGCAAAAAAAAAACCCAACAAGCGCGGCTCTTGTCGGTGTTATCAGAAGCCAGAACAGAGCCTGGGAGCTGAAACCAGTTCCTTGCTGGCAGGTTTATGTTTTATTAGTGAGGACTTTGTAATGACTGCTGGTAGGGAGAGAGACAAGTCACGCTTTAGTGGAAACGTATACTCTGTATCTAAAGATCGCGCTAATTGTAGCTCACTTCAACCTGAGAGGCATTACACAAACTTCAGCAGCACAACAGGGATTTGGGAATACTATCCAGATCACAGAAAACCTAAAGAGGACAAAAAAGGGGAGCCACTGAAGGAGAGATTAGCAGGAAGCATCAAGATTAACCATAGAAACGCTCGAAGGCTCTCAGAAATCACTTCACACCCTCTTTGCAGCATTTTTCAGCACTCTGAAGAGTGCGCACTACACAATGATATWCAAATGCTAGCACAAGTTAAGAGTTCAAACCACACCGCGCAGGGCTGCTGCTCATGGATTTATAAGATCAATCTCAATCAACAGGAACAACAAATATAACTTCAGTGCTACAGCCGAACTGACTCAAAGCTCAGCCAGTAAACGTAATTAATTAGCTTAAATGTTTTACTAACAGGTACTTTTTTTAGTTTGAATTATTTACATAATTTTACYCAAACACTCAAAGGTAAGGAACTAACCCTTAAAATATCTCAAACTCTTTTAGGTTTAATACAGTTTAAAGTTTTTTTCTTTTAAATTCTGTAAAGAAACAAGAGTGCCACAGAAATCTGAAAGGGAACAAAACTACAAAAGAGAAAATATAAAGTTGTAATTATGTTACAATAAAATTATGTAAAAATAGATCAAATCTATCAATTTTATATTTTCATCAATTTGAACATTTATTTTGTCCTTTAGTGGATTTTACACTTGATTTTGTCATTTTTTAAAAGATTAGGCTTTTTCTGTTTTCAGTTATTTCTATGATTCATTTGTTAAGCTTTGTTTGTTATTCCAAAACTACTTTTGTCTTTTCCTCCATTTTCAACTTGCTTTTCTTATCCGGCAACGTTAAATTCATTACCTCATCAGCATTTAACTGTTCCTACGATCTAATTATTCCACACAGAACAAGTCTTAAAGCAGCGTTTCTGAGTTTGTACTTCTGACAGAAACAGTATTATCTTCACAACAGATAAAGAAATAAACAAAAAAGTTCAACAGTAAAGAACAAATGAAAAGACGGCAGAAGTTTATGATGTTTCAGGTGTGCATTAATTGCAACCCCCTTCGTTATTTTTTTGTTTCACGTTTTGCTGCATTTATTTAGAGATCAGACAAAGAAAAAAGGAGCAAAAGATGGAAAATTCTTCACAGATTCTTGTAAGTGAAAGGTGACAGATTTAATAGTGAGCACAACACAAAGACTGAGATTATTAGTGGGAGTCTGACGGGGAGCCACATTTAGGAAAGTGATTTCTACGTGGGTGTGAATTTACAGAGAATATCACTTCTTCCCCTAAATTTAGGATGAAGTAAAGAACGGACAAAAGGAAACTCAGAAAGTCACAAGTTACAGTTTGGAAATAAAACTGCAGATTCTATCTGATTCATCACAAATTATATAAGAGGAAAAAGGTAAGCTGCAGAGTATTTATGAATAATTGGATTCAGTTAATCAGATGACTAAAAGCGCCAGAAGTGAGGCGTCTCGCAGACATTTCTGAAACCTATGAAGGCACATTCACTGTAGCCACTCTTTGTGTGACAACCGGCAGATGGTGCAGGTGGTTCGTCACTGTATCCTGTCAAAAAAAAAGTGAAGCTTTGATTCATTATGTCTGCGTGCTGGTATTAGGCAGCCATTTCCCCCACCCTTTCTCACTGAGGCTTGAAAAGGCAGCGGGCATGGTGTGAAAACATGAGTACAGATGGTACTGTCTTTCAAACACTGAGATGCAGTTGGAGGATGAGTGTACTGTACGCTGAGAGCTCGCATGGTTTCTGTTTTAGTCTGCACATCTGCTAAAGCATCGATACTGTCACTGATAATCGACTGATCATCCAGTTTGTGGTGCACTCAGGAGAGGGATGTGTATTAATCAGAAATACAGACTATTTWAAAAAAATAAACCTTGCATTTAAATGCGGCCTAAATATTTCCCTGGAAAGATGTTGCTGATTAAAGCTCCTGCTGACCTCTGATCTCTTCCTGCTTGAAACAGTTTATGTTATTATAAAGCTAAATGCATGACTCAAATCAGACAACAGCTCTGCTGCAACCAGTTTTCACTGAGCAAACTGGGCCAGAAAAAAAAAAAAAGAAAGAGAGCGTCTCTTTATGAGCCAAGTCGTTCAGCAGACAGCAAAACCTCAGTGCCATCTACAGGAAGAGATGTGCAAAAACAAAAAGAACTTTCGCTGACCTTGACTGCCTGAATAGTTAATAAACAACTCGCCGTTTGCCATTTTCATCGAGTCAGATCTGTTGGAGAGGAATGACGAGCAGATYGGCGCACTCCTCACTTTGCAGCTTCAATTAAAGTCCACTTTGATGTCTCTGCTCCAATCTGCTATAACACGGTAACAGGACGGGGAATCGGCCTCGTCGCAAGAGAGCGTTTTAATTGAAATTCTGTCTGAATAATGGGGTCCAAATCAAACCGAGCGCAGACCGGACAGAGGGTTAATGAGTTGTCAGGGAAGTTGAACAAAAATAGGCCGGCTCGTCTCCACTGGGACTCCGCTCTCCCCAGCTGAGGCTTAGCTCTGCATCCGAGAGCCACGCAACGCTGGAATCATCCACTCCAACAAAGAGCCTGCGCCGAGCCGAGCCTGTCTGTGCCCAGCCCAGCGCCGCATTGATTAAGATGCTCTCTGGGAGAGTTCAAGTAGGGGTTGGCCAGACTGCGGTCCTCTTCTGAAGCCTTGAGGGGGGAAAACAAGAGGGAAATGCAGATATTGTGCTGATAAGCAGTTAAAACACTTCACCAGGAAGGCGAGCGAGCTCCGCTGAATGCTCTCCCACTGGAAGCAGCTTTTGATGTACAGCAGGGTGGACATGATGGCTCCGTACACTGCTTTGACACGCGTCACATTCCTGGACAGAGCCTGAAATAAACAGATAATGTGCAACAAAGACGATAAACACCGCGGGACTCGTAATGAATTTGGTTACAGTTAGTTAATCTTCAAATGAGAGYGGGTTTTGTGAAATATTTGGCTAATAGGAAACAGAAAACAAGCCAAGAGGAACAGGAAGAATGGCCTGCATTCAGCACGAGTCACTGTGATCAGGAAGCAACAACAATGTCAGTAATCTGAACTGATTTCCATCAAATTAAACCTCCAGCTTTTAAACTGACAGAAAACCTGCATGTTACCAGATCAGTCTATTAGCCAATTTTGGAGTTAGTTATTGTCTGACAACAATGAGTCTTTGTGGGAAGCACAGACAGTCAGGCACCCCGTATATCAAACTAATGTAGCAGAACAGTGAGCAAGAATTCACTCACAGTCGGGCTCAATTAAAGCTCAGTTTAGTTAATTCAGGCAAATCTCCCCTTTATGCTGAGGTAAAACACACAGACACTGATAGAATTAGTCACTTTCTATTCTTCTTTTGTTTGAAGTTGTATTATTTTGAACATCAAATACAAAATTCTTAAAGCCTATATGTTTTTTTTTGTCAATTTTGATATTGAAAAATACTTTCTTTACCGTTTTGTTGTTATGTCTGTAACAAGTTCCAAATTGTTTTGAAATTGTTTTTCCTGACAGCAGATTCCATGATTTGTCTAAGACAGATATTTGCTGTCGGGCACAGAAAACTGCAGGTGTTTACAATTTTAAAACTGGTTATGCAGAATGCCTGGTATTTTTTTGATTAAAAGCTGCCCAGAAGTTATCAAAACAAAATAGTTTTTGGCTCAACAGAACAAAACACGGACTTATTATTTCGGCTTCGATCAAGTCTCGAGTCAAGGCTCCTCAGCTAAACTCAAGTAAAAACCTAACATGGTGTGTGTGTGTGTGTGTGTGTGTGTGTGTGTGTGTGTGTGTGTGTGTGTGTGTGNCAACTACAGAAACTGCCTTTAAGTTGAAAATACAGTGTGAATTTAGAGTGCTGAAAGACTGGGTACTAAATAAAAGCAGAATACTACTTAAATGTAGCAAAAGATAAGCTAAAAGCTAAATGTGCCAAAAATCTCGCTACAACCTAAAAGTGCCAAAAAGTAAAGGTAAAGCTAAAAGCTGCAAAGTTAACATGAATGCTAAAAGTAGAAAAAGACAAGCTAAAAGCTGAAGTAGCAGAACAGTAGCTAAAAGTAGCATAATAAAACACATTTTTTTTTAATTTTTGAAAATATGAAACAATTTTTTTGAAAAATATGAAAGTTACAAAAGATTGAAGCTGTAAAACCATCTCCTGAATGTGCTAAACATTTTTGTTTAAAATTGCATATCATACAAACATAGTCAGACTGCAAAAGAAACAGTAGAGTAAATGCTGAATAAGCATTAACACAATTAACAAAAACAGTCACGAAACAAAAGAAACATCCCCAAATTAATTCTTATAATGTCTATCAAATTGTACAGATGGCAGTTCTAAATAAAAGTATTTATTAGTTGTAAGAAACAAATGCTTTTTTCTTCATCACCCTCCAATGAACCACTCAAATATCCACAGTGTCAGGATTGTAAATGACCCATGTTTTCCATATATTACTTTATAAGTGCTTTTATGTATTTATTAAGCTGCTTTGCAGAAATACATCTTTTTTAATCCTCTTCCTAACAATTCTGCAGATTCTTTCCACAGAACACATGCTCCTGATTGGAGATTTTCCCACCAAACAGCAACCAGTTTTAGCTCAGAGCTTATAGCTCACTTAGCAACACTTCTTTCTCTTCCCACCACTGTCACTCCAACACCAAAATAAAAAAAAATAAATAAAAAAAAACAGACCCTATAACTCAGCACCAACTCTTTGCTGAGCAACAAACAGCATCAACAACAACAACAACAACAACAACAAACAGCTTCTATTAGGAGCAAAGGGGCGGAGTCTTGGAGACTGACAGCCAATCAAAATGTAGTGGGTGCCATATTTAAAACTATAATAAAWATTACTTTTACTTTTCGTAATTTAACAAATGAAAACTAGCTGCTGACTAACATTTTATCACTGTTACTCATCTTCCTGGAATTTGTTTCTTTTTGTTAATTGCTGGTTAGGTAGCACATTCATGATTTGACCAGATTTGTGTTTTCAAGATTTGTAAACTTCAACAAATTTAATCTTAAAACCAAATAATGTCTTTTCGACTCAGATATCCACTATTATAACCTATCCCAACTGCTATTTTCGAATTTGCATATATTATTTTTAAGGTTAGGCTAAATGTCCAATGTTTTTATAGATGTCCACTCACCAACAATGTAATTAGTGCATTCTAACAAAAGGCACATTAAACACATCGTGCCCTGTGTGCACACTCACTTTATGCAACATCTCTGCTTTCTTCTGCCAATATTTCAAGTCACATTCAGCTTTTCATTTTGCAGTTTTACTCTTTAAGACCCTTCTTTGTGGCCGAACAATGAACTTACAGCGCTGGCAGCAGCTGCTGTACCTCCAGCTGCCACTGGAGGGCAATCCACCACCATGAAACAGTCAAACTCCACATTGTCTCCTGTACATTAAGGGACCATCTGAGATAAAACCGTTAGTGATTATTTTACCCGCCTACTTACCCTCAAAGGTGGCGATGATTGTCGCCAAATTCTGAAGAGATTTTAATTTCCTTCAACTCCAGAGGTTCCCGAGGGTCAAAGAGGTGCAAGCAAAAATTTTCTGTCGCTCTGTTGCTTCGCTGAAAGCTGCTTAAATAAAGCCTTTTTATGTTGTTCGTAGCCAACTTTCTTTAGTTAGAAAGAGTAATAAATAAAAGACGCAGAAAAGACTGACATGTTTTTATTTCTCACCAAGAGATCCCTCGTCTTTTCAGGTTTTTCTGCTTTCTATAGATTCATTATAAGTAATGAAAAACAACAACGCAAAAGCTTGTTGGATGTTTTGATGGTTTTAGCTGTTCTTCAGTGTCAGTGTGTGATGGTCACCTACAGCGAGTGGATAAAGAATCGAACCATTAGATCGAGTGAAAACAATACAAACTGCTCCAAATCCATGAAGTCAGCCTGAAAGGATGAAACCTGTTGCAACAACTGAGGACACCAGTTGACATCAGGAAAGCCTTGAATGGACTCAGAGGAAAACTGATGGTCATTCTTTAGTCTTCCTGCCCCCCCTYCCCCCAACTCGTCTGATAATGACTGCAGCAAAGGACCCGCTGGCTGGACTCAAGCAGGCCCTCAAGGATATTCCACAGGTGGTGGCATCTAATCTCAGGGTTTCAACTTCAGTCTCTGACTCAAAAGTGCTTCATTGTTTCTTTGTTCCCGTTTCTTTCGTTTTCTTTTCTCAGAATAGATTCAATTTAATCTTAGAGAAATTTCTGATAACATCCTGACAGAGTCTTAAGGTAGGGTGGATGGCACTTTACGGATCCCCAGAAGGAACACACTACAGGAACAAAATTACACAAACCAGTACAGGGAAAAAACTACAGTAAATATAGTGAAGGAGGCAAGAGTTATATTCATATAAAAAACTTATTCAACAAATTACGTCAACAGTCTGGGGTGGATGTAAATGTCTACTTTTAGGGAAATCAGAATCAAGTTTGAGATCGGTTTTATTAACAGCCCACCCCCTTCTTATATTGGGTTTTAAAAACCAATGCTAATCCCACCCCCCATCCCACCACATACACACACACACACATACACACACATCTCCCTGTCACCTTAGATTCATTTTTAAAAACCTTAACACTTTCATTTACCATTTTCTTCCCTTTCAACCGAAACAACCTAAAAACAAAAGAAACATCACACTTGAAACCTGTCTTGCGCATAAAGATTTCGTTTGAGTGTGTGTGCGTGTGAGTGTGTGTGCGTGTGAGTGTGTGTGTGTGTGTACAAATTTTTGCTCCATCCTCTCTGTATATTTTCTCCTAATCTCGAGGAAGTAGTTCATTTTCCATCTTCCTTGTCTTCTCAGCAGCATCATTGTGTCTTCATTCATCTGTTGTGATTTTTATATATTGTAAATATTTAAATGCTGGTGAAAACACATCACATCAATTAATGCACCATTACTGAGTCTCAGTGTGTGTGTGTGTGTGTGTGTGTGTGTGTGTGTGTGTGTGTGTGTGAGAATGATGAATTGTTTCAAACCTTTTTAGAAAATTTGGGAGGATCCTCCAAGAAGGCTCTCTCTTTTGGCTGGAAAGTTCTTATACTCGCTTTGACCTGTTAAAAACAACAACAACAACAAAACACAACGTGTGAGAATCAAGCCTGAGTTTCCTCATATCCTCCCTGCAGCGGTGAACTTTTACTCACAGGGTTAAAAATAACCTCCAGCTCCAGAGTGATGCTTCCCTTCGACAGATGACCCAGGTCCAGTTTCTTCAGAGGGTAGGTGATCTGTTGTCCTCTGTTGATCTGTGGGACAGAAAGGTCATCAGGTGCTGAACTCAGCYGTGAACCTGACCGTCACTCACGCCAGATCACATCTGAGCGAGTCCTGGACCCGCCGAGGTGTTAGCACCCTCTTCACTTCAGTTTAACCACACAGTGTAAATAGACGAGCGGACTGAGTTAGACGGGCGTACCGAGAGCAGGGGAATGGCAACTTTTCCCAGAAAGTCTGGTGCCTTGTCTCCATCGTCATCAAAGATGGTCACCATCAGAACGTCATGAATGTCTTTGACAGGGCTGCAGAGGCAAACACAAGGTTGTTTTTAAATTATTTTCTGTGCAACATTAAAATAACCAGGCTGATGATGTTTTAGAAAGTAGAAACTAACAACGTGAAAACTTGGGCCCACTCTGGGTTAAGGCTCTTGTAGACCGTGTGGGTCTGCAGTCTATCGTTGCCCAGCTCTAACACGCAGAAAGGGTCACTCTTACCTGCAAAACACACAATTTAAACAAAAAAAATCCAAACGTTTGTTTTAAAAAAATGACAGAATCAAATCAGAATACCATTTAAATCTGCGGCCATCAGATCTGAAGCCTTCAAGACTTTGACTTGAAGGAAACCGATATCACTGAGGTTCTTCAGAGAGTTTCTCAAGCACTGAGGAGATAAGAACACAGGATACATACAGTTCAAACTTAAAGATCACAGATAAATCTGTCGTTATTATGTGTTTACATTGTGTGGATGTTTTTCAAAAAAAAAAGAAAAAAAAGAAAGTGCGGGACATCCATTATCCTGTTTATTGTGATGTTTTTGTGCTGTTGTGAGTCTGATGAAGGGACAGCAGCTACAGCAAGTCTGCACTTCAACACACCATCATAATGTGAGGGCACGTCAGATAAGTGTCAGTAAATCCTCTCTGCTGCAGACTCCTCATCAGGTTCAAGTTCCCGCAGGTAAAGTGATATTTTTCTGACATGAAGCCTACCCTGCCTCACAAATCTAACATGTGCGAGCGACTGTAGTGCTTCATTCAAGCTTTACACAACAACATTTACGGCAAATTGTAATGAGGCGCTTTTCTCCAAAACAGTACTTAGAGCCCTCCTTTGTCTCAGAACACATGTGTAACAGTGAACTGCTGGGTCTGGCTTCTGATAAACCTACATTATTTTCATCACTAGAAGGTAGGGCCGGGCGACATGGCACAAAAAAAAAACCTCCAATCTTTTTCATCCCAAATTCGATTTTCGATTTTAATCGATTTTGTTTCCCACTTAATGGAGTGCCTCTGTTTCAGGTGTCGAAACAAATTTGTTGCACTCCTGTTTTTTGTAGCAAGAGCCTTAAAACAGATTTTGCAGTGAGGTATTCGTTGTTCCAAGTCCGAGTTTGGGAAACCTAACCAATTCCAGAAAACTGAAGAAACAGTGCCTTTTTTGAGAAGTAGATCCTATTTGCTAGCTGCCATATTGTCATGTCATGTACCAAGAGTCTTGAGGGACATGTGGGGTGACCTCTGAACTACAGAAGCCCCAAAGAGTGCACTGGTGGAAAAAAAAATCTAGATTTTCCCAAAATTAAATCTTTATAAATGGCAAATTTGAATTAATCAACTAAATCAATTTATTGCCCAGCCCTACTAGAAGCTTATAATAGTTTTGGATTTTTCATTATAGTTTAGTTTTATTTCGTTGTGACTTTTTTCTTTTAATTTGTTTTTACAGTGGATTTGCTAGTTTTTATTAGTTATTATTGCATTTTTAATGCTTAGTTTTAGTTTAGTTTAGTTTTTATTAGTTATTATTACATTTTTAATGCTTAGTTTTAGTTTAGTTTAGTTTTTATTAGTTATTATTCCATTTTTAATGCTTAGTTTTAGTTTAGTTTAGTTTTTATTAGTTATTATTACATTTTTAATGCTTAGTTTTAGTTTAGTTTAGTTTTTATTAGTTATTATTCCATTTTTAATGCTTAATTTTAGTTTAGTTTAGTTTTTATTAGTTATTATTGCATTTTTAATGCTTAATTTTAGTTTAGTTTAGTTTTAATTAGTTCTAGTATTAGTTTTTTATATCTTATTTACCAACACATCCTCCAGTTTGTGATGTTCCTGTGTGTTAACTAACCAACAGCTATTTGGTCACTAGTTAAAGCAGTCCATTATAGCGACACCTTCCTAAAATAATTGTGTAACTCAATTTTGCAAACTAAAGACTTGGGCGATTATTATTATTAGGAAGATGATAATAGTGTCTCCAACCTGGTGCTACCTGTTGCTGGTTTTTCATGGGGGATACTGAGTGTGTCAAGAAAGTCATAGTTAGCCATCTTGTGTGAGCTTGATTCATGCAGTTTTTCCCTTGAGAAATATTCCACCTGTTTTATCACCTGTTTCTACTACAAGACACTTGCTTTGATTTTTCTCGCAGTCATATTCAAAGAAATCCCAAAGTGTACGTTGTTGCTTTCTCCAAACTTCTGTTGTTGTCATTTATCAGACGATGCTGAGCAGCAGACTGTAAACAAGTGTTGTTACGGACCACATCTAATGTGAAACTGCTTGATTTGAAAAGAAATCTACATGGCTCAAAATAAATTGACAAACACTAAAACTAAGGATATTCTATCAATACTTTCAGTTAGTTTTGTAAAAGGATTATACAGTTTTAGTTAGTGATCAATTTTTTTTACAGTTTTTTATTAATTTTAGTTAACTAAAATGTTTTTTTCAATTTCAGTTTTTGTTGTTTAGTTAGTTTTAGTTAACTATAAGAACCCTGCTTATTAGAAGATAAACTCCAGCTTCTATCCTGAAATTTGAATTTTCTCAATCTGAATTTACTGACATGACAGTTTGAGGCCTTCAGAACATGAACAGGCAGGCACTGCCACCTCTAGGTCCTTCAACACACACAATTATTTGCAACCACACAAATCTGCTCAAAACTAATGTTTTGCCCCTGATTTCCTATTTATTTAGGAGATGTATTATCTTGTTCTAAAAATCACTTTCCAAGCATATACTGATTTTAAAACGTGTCATTTTGACACGGAGGCTCTATTTGATATGAGGGTGCAGTAAATTAAAGTGTTTGTCTGAAGGTGGTGATGTGGCCATGCAACAAGCGCACAGTGCAGATACTGACGTAATTATCCAGCTGCTTCTGGCGTTCGCGGCGTTCGTCGAGCGGCGCGGCGCCGAGGTCGCAGATGGAAAGGCCGCTGCACGTGTTCAGTATAACCAGGAAGACCAGGCTCCCTCTGTGCGGGTCCATCCTGTACTTGAACAGGGTCCTCGTGTTGAAGGGGACCTCAGACAGGTTCACTTCACACCTGTGTCGGGGATAGACGGAGCCAAGATTATTAATGTTCACCGTCGGCTGAATATTCACGGCTAAAATAACGGAACAACCTGAAAGGATTCATCCATGTTCCGAAATTCAACCTGACAGGTTCAGATTTCTACACTTCATTTACAAAATGATGTAAAAAAACAAACAAACAAACAAAAACAAAAAACAAAAATAAAAACAGACAGAGTATCTAACAAAAAAATGTATAAAAACACAAAAATGTGAAAGTTCAGCAGACCTCTCTGTGGAGATTTTTCTTCTCATCTTAGATTTTACTAAACGAGTTTTTATTATATTTTCATGTTTCATCACAATGTGACAAAACCCCAAGAATACAAACAACAAAATGATGCAGTTCTTTCATCCTACACAGCATTTTTGATGGGAAACTTTTTGTTGTTCTAAAGATTGAAAACCTTTTACATATATATAT